TAAAGAAAAATGCAAAAAAAAATAGCGGATCGTTCAAGTATATATATATACATATATTTTTGAACGTGTGCATAGGTATACACGCGCCATTAAATCGATTTGTGACATAGAGACCACGTAGCGTGTAATTATCGTCGTTTGACGAGGAAAATGGCAGTGAATACCGATTGCACGTGCAAATTATGCCTATCTATCTATACATATACATATATATATATATATATATATATATTTGCGAAAATATCCCGTTATCGTTGTTCCTTTTGGGCAGACGCACTTAAAGAAAAAGAAACGATGTAAATGATATTGTAAATCAAAGATACACCGTATATGTATATTGTATCTTGATACTCTTCAAAGTGACGTCTGTCTAAGTGAGAGCAGCATAGCGACCGCGCCACGATCTGCCAGAGAGATATTAATAAGCGCAATTGAAGCAGCCAGAAGAACGAACTATCAGCGAGTGTATACATGAACGTGTATTATAACGTGCTCCGTTGTGCACGTGTTTGTTAGATGCGTTTATACATATGCATACTCATGCGAAGAAGGTACATGATTCTATACGCACATACGACAAAGGGAGAAATATATATATAGAAAAAAAAGGAAAAAAAAGTACATATATATGCTTCTTCTGGTGAACGGAAGGGCCTTGTGTATAATTAACTGTTGCAAAACAGAAACTGTCAGAGATGGAAGAACAGTAGAAAAAGTTCGTATCATCTTGTTAAAGGGGAATAAACAATGTAGGAGTGAATGAAAGAGAGAAAAGCCGTGGGGGGCACATGCAAGCTCGCGCACGCGAGAGCGAGCAACATACTGTGTATGTGTGTTTATATATGTATATACATATATATATATATATCTATATTTTTACTGTGTAGATATTTTTTGGTAACTTATTAAAGTAATCCTATTAGACCAGTTAAGCGTATACATATTATATATATACATATATATATATATATATGTATGTTGTAAATACAAGGGTAATAGCTGAAGAGAAATAGCTTCTGCTCGTGTCAACATCAGGATTCCGGGTATCTTTCGATTAGAACGAATGAATAAAAAAGGGGAAAAAAAATGACATTTTGTTACTGTTTTCAAAGAAGGAAACAATATGTATAGGTTTCTTTCGATAACTTGCGATTTATTCGTGTTTCCTTTCTCTGTCTCTCTGTGCCTGTACACATACAGAACTCTCTAACGATCATATTTCTCTCCGCAAAATCAATCAACGACTGTGGCTGACACGCGCGTGTAAAAACTTTTTGGTTTCCGTTATCGATGATCCGTACACCGTATGTACATAAAAAAAGGAAATCTATTTATCTTATTAATATTATTATTAAGTCTTCAAGATTGTTTGATGTGAACAAGAGAGCCGAGGGTCACTACGTCGATACTTTTTGAATCCACGCAGCGTGTAACAATAAAGACGGAAGCAAGTTGTATTCGACTTTACTTTATACTATTCTATATTTATAATATTTATTACGTTTTTTCATGTTGATGTAATAAAGTTTAGGTATATACTTTGCAACAGCGGCTTTTATGCAATTGTCTCTGACCTGACGGTGAATTGGTTTTGTATTTGCCGGGAGTACTACATTCATTCTTGTGTCTTTTGTAAATTTCTCTGTAAAGAAAACATGGCCATTCCCTTTTTGTGGTTTTATTAAAAAGAAAGAAGAAAAAAAAAAATATTACGAACACAGTTCATAGCTCCGTTGTCTGTTCCTGTTCTTTTATTCATAACCGCAAGCAAATGTAATATAAATCGGTGCCTTTCGATTTCTTTAGCAACCGGATACGCGAACAGACAGGTGTCATCTAGATAGGATTTGTTTTGAAAGGTTTCTCGTGTTCTCATTTGTATTTTATGCGCTTAAATATTTTTCTATAACGTATCTCTAGTATTAGAGAAAATGAAAGAATAGTTTAAACATGCCTGCCAGGTAAGTCGGACAATTTTGTACTCTAAGTGACATATAGAACGTTATGTGGAAGAAAGTGTTCTCGTAATTGTCAAACAACTAACGGAAGCTTGTAATAAACGTGTAAGACAATAATAAATCACTTCTGTGTTCTATCTTTCATCCCGTCGATCGAACACTCAACTTCACGTTGCTCCATCGATACAACTATCGATTCTCGTTCTCGTGACAGTTTTCGTTTATATCTTTCAGACATGAGTAAGAAAAATTTGCAAGTAAAAATTCAAAAAAACCCTTCCAGAATTAATCAAATATGAGCACGTTCCAAGATTTATATTAACATTTTTAAAATGATATTTTAAATTGATCCAGGCTATCAAAGATCGACAAATTTTTCGTCATATGTTTGGTTAAGTACAACAGAATAGATGAACACAAATAGCCATAAGATTATCCCATTCTTTGAACGAAATACATTACCTGTTTTCCTCCTGTTTGAATAACGAAAACTCAGAAACATGACGGAAAATCAAAAGAAAACAGAAATCTCAGGGTCCCCAGGGACATCAGGCGAGGGTGACGCACTTCCAAAGAAGAAAAAACCAACACGAGCCGATTTCGGTAAACGATGGCATAGATTCCGCGTTCTAACACCGAATTCAGCGATTCTACGCGGTTCATACGCCATGAACGATCCACATTTCAAGTATCGTAGTCGTGGTCGCCAGGCGGCACCTTCGTCTATCGTAGCCATAGTCTATGGTCGTCTGTTTGAACCCAAGGAATGGATGAAGGACTACGTAGATCAAATATTAGAGTACGGTGACAAGGTATTCCGTACCAGTATAATGAGAAACCACGTGAAAGACAACGAATACATGAAATCCACGCTGGTCCATCCAGAATTCTACATTTCGAATTATAAAGTCCTAGTATGCGTCGAAGAAACAGGAATTTATGGAAATCTTTTCAGCGAGACAGTAGGTTGTCCAGACTTTACCGATGGACTGGAAAAATTCTTTCAAAATAACGATGCCGGAGTGATTACAGCTCAAGGATCCTCTATGGCCATGTGGCGACAGCCTGAACTTGGTTTTTTATTCTTTAATCCAGCAGCCTGTGACGAAGAAGGTGTTCATCACCCAGACGGAGTAGCCTGCGTCATGAGATTCAAATGTTTGAACCACGTGAGCGAGCATTTTTTAAAGAGCATGGACCAGAAGTACGATTCGAGGTATTGTATCGATAAGGTAACAGTTTTGAGAGTCAGCGAAGTTGGTCGTGGATATATCGATCGTATTCCCAGTGCTAGTCGTTTAAACGTAGATAAAAGTGTTCTTAGAACTATCAACCCTGTCGACATCGACGAGAACAAGATGGATTGCACGAAACCGGTACCAAAAGGCGACAAGCTGAAAACTGTCACAGTAGCTAAGATCCACAGGGAACCTTTGTCGATTACTATTTCCAATTACAGTATCGATCGACATTTCGCTACCCATCCTCTGGTAAATCAGAACAAATTCGATACCGGATATACTTACGAGAATATGCATGTGAACGTGCCTTCGACTTTTAGAGAGCTTTCAGGAGACATGGCGATTCTTCACGGTTTAACTCACGAACATAGCGAAATGTACAAAGGTAAGGGAGCACAAAACGTGGTGAATTGCGTGCTTGCAATCGCCATGAAGAAGGTACATCCAGTGAAAACTTGGCTGAGACCAAAATTAGACGAGATATTGACTCTGGGCGACGATGCGTACGCCGAAGCGAAAGCTGCGAAACCGATGGTGAAGAACATGACTGGTTCTGACTTAAACGACATGAAAATAGAAGTGGAGGAAAGGAAGCTGGTCATAGACGTAGATTTAATCACAGTCACTGGTACGATCTCTTCTAAGATCGCGACTGTGTTAAATTTGAAGCAAGCTTTGGAAGAATTCTTCCTGGTCAATACCGAAGGAGTGATCGAGTCCTCCTCCATGTCTGTAGCGATCTGGAGTCAGGACGATTGTTTCTACATGTTCGATCCTCGTCAATGCGACCAGATAGGCGTCAGAATTCGAGAAGAAAAGGGTGGCAAAGGTGGTAAGGCTGCTGATACATCCGAGAAAAAGAAGGGTAATTGTTGCGTGATAAGATTTCCTAATACCGACGCGTTGGCTGCGTTGTTCCTGAAGAACGTTGACTATGCTAAGAAGAACGATCGTTTCACCATCAGACACATTACAATTTTAGACGACGTTCCTGGTACCAGGGCTTGGCACGATTTCCAGCCAGCCACAGCTGGGGAAACTTGGATCCTTCGAGGAACCATATCCAACGAGGACGAAGACTTCGAGGACGAGAGTCGAGGAGCTCAAGGACTGGCTATGCCAGTGATAGCTTTGATCAGCGCCAAGGAAACTCCTCCTACAAAATGGATCAGCGACACTATCGACAGTGTAGTTCGAGAAGGAGATGCTTACTACCACTGGTGTAACCCAGTGATGGAAGCAGACGAAGAAACTGAGCGGTATTTTTTCGTCTCGAACTTGAAGAAGAACTTGTACTTCAAGAACAGAAAGGTGAAGATCGAAGTGGAAGACGGGACTATCGTTGGAGACTTAACGTCACCAGCTGACAGCGATATTCCAAATTTACCCACTGCTTTGAAGCAATTCTTCGAGGAACATCAGTACGGTATCATCGACGTGAAGAATCTCAACGTAGCCGTGTGGAAGGTTGTAGAAGAAATAAAGGAGAAGGACGAGATGGTCCCACAGAATATATATTACTGTTTCGATCCAAATCCTCGAAGTAGCAAGGGTCTCTGGGCGGCTGACGAGGATGATTTGGAAGAGAGCGTGGCCTGTGTGGTCAGAACTTTAGATCTAGCCGCGTTAGCTAGGATAATCGAGACGAACGCAGGTCAGGACCAAGAAGCCAGTAACGAATTCTCTATTCACGATATGAAGGTAGTTTCCATAGGTTCTGAGATGACCGAAGAAGAGATAGAAGAAGACAAGCAGATCCCAGTGAAGCCTGACTTGAATAATTATTACAGCATGGGAGACAATGGAGCTGTTTTACTAGGTAGCTTCAATCAGGGGAACGAAGTGGTATTCAAACGATTAACCAGAGACAAGCAGCAAGCAGGAAGTGCTTTGGCCACTTTAGCTATGACCAAGTTGTATAATCCTCATTTATGGTACAGGGAGGTGATCGACGATATTTTGAAGCTAGGCGACAAGATCACGGCGGACAATCTGGAGAACCTTGCAGAGGAGGGTGTGGAGGAAGAAGAACCGAGACATTATCTTCTTCCGAGTGAAATCAACGACGATTTCCCTGTTGGAGTGAATCGAATGTACATCAGCCTGGAAGAGGAATCAGTCTCCGGGAGGATGAACGATTTGGGGGCTCAGTTGGAGACATTTTTCGAGACTAATGTTATGGGAATATTCAGGCAGAACGAGGTGATGATGCCTGTTTGGAGGGAAGGCGACGTTTTCTTCCTGATGGACCCCAAGGGAAGAGATACCAGAGGAGAGCCTCGAGAGAAGGATGGCTCTGCTGCTGTGATGTGGTTCACAGATATTCCATCGTTGACTACAGCGATTCAGGCTGTTTCTCCTGGCGAAGACTTCGTTGTCGACGTGGTTACCTTGGACAACGCTTACGAGACACGAGTAGCCGCCGAGGAGCGTCCTCCGAGGCCTACTTCGGGCGAAAATTCTTGGTACCATTTCCCTAAAATGACCGAAGGCGTGTGGAGCATCGATGGTACGGTTACAATGGACGACGCCAGGTTCGAAGAGGTTAACAGGAATAATCAAACTGCAGCTATCGCTATCATGGCTATCGTTTTTGCTAAAGTATACGAGCCTAGATATTGGACGCAAGCTGTGCTCGACGAAGTGATCGTCACAGGGGACAAACTACACTCGAAGTGTGTAGACAGACTTGGCGAAGGTTCTATTCCCAGGATCAACGAGATCATGACGGAATTCTTCTTGTCCACTCGTCGAATTAACTTGACTATTAAAGACTGCGTGGAGGCTGGAAGTCTGACAGCGAAACCACCGAAAGTTCAGGATTTACAAACTGGCATTCGTAATTTCTTTTCTAGGTACCACTCAGGAGCATTGGCGATTAGCAAGAACAGGAACATAGCTATTTGGAAGTTTGGCAACGACTATTACACCTTGATACCAGACTGGATAACTATCTCGGACGAAACGAGTTCGGCGCAGCCTAAAGTATTACGTTTCGTCGACATAGAGACGCTGATAGAATACCTAACGAACTTCTTAGGAACCGAAGGAGACTACGAAATGATCGCCATCGATATAGTCAATTGGAACAAGCTTCCTCCTTGGAAGTTCGATCCAAGTTCAGCTGTTCGTCCCTCGAATCTTCCACCATTGAACGCCTACAGAAGAGTTCGCGGCGAGGCTCGAGCGATTCTCAGAGGCAGCTACCATCAGGGTGACGAGATCTTCCCGGAATTGTTGAGGAACAAACAGGGCGCAGCGAATTGCGTGGTCGCGTTAGGAATGTCTGTAGTGAAGAATCCAGGGACTTGGACGAAGAAGACTATGGACGAAATTTTAGCGATTGGAATAAACGTTCACAGAGAAACGCAGAAGGCCAAGCCAACCATAGTTCGTATCAAGCCGAAGGACATCATCAGAGTGTTCTACGTTGGTGTAAACATTCTAACAGCGGATATAGAGTCTGGTACAGTGGCTGGTATAGTGGCGATTCCTCCGCCAGATCCGGAGGACAAGAAGAAGAAGAAACGCGGTGGAAGACGAAGAGCTGGAGGAAGAGGGAAGAAAGGTAGAAGGCCTACAAGAATAAGAGCTCCTCCTCCTCCACCGATTCTCTTGGAGCAAGGTGTACCGTTATTCTTCCAACATAATCGAGCTGGTATTTTAGTCACCGATCGAGGAGCAGTGGCTATTTGGAAGGACAAGGGCGTTTACTTCATGTTCGACCCTGGTGCACGAAGCGACCAGGGTTTGCCTGATTTCTACGGAACCTCCTGCGTCATGTGGTTCGCCTGTCTAGAACCACTGTACGAGGTGTTGTTCGCCAACATCGACGAGCAAGAGAAGTATGGTCGTTACGAGATCAATAGAGTGATCATTAAGACAGCGATGATCGAACCTTTACCTTGTCCAGCTGGTTTCAGACCTTACTTCGACTGCACAGCTCCGCCGATTCCTGTTACGTCGATGAAGAGGAACACCACGTTGGACGTGGAGACAGTCACGGAGTACAATATCGTGGACGAAGAGCTAAGTGTTCTCAGAGGAAGCCTCCATATGAATCACAGAATCTGGAGTACAGATAGCAGAGGTTTTCAGAGCACGGCAATTGCAGCTGTGGCCATTGTCGTTGGTCTTCTTCACGTTCCATCTACGTGGACACCGGAGTTAATAGACGCGATTTTGCGGTACGGGGATTTGTTGCACTCTGATAGCGTTCGAGCTGCTCGTCCAGGAAACAGAAACTTGTCTCCTAGTGAATTGTTAACAGTCTTCATCGTTGGTGATTTCAGAGCTACGATACATATTCATAATCATACAGCAGCTGGTCTGCTTCACACTTTCGATCTGTCCGAAGCTCTCGCTATGTTTTTCCGTTCCAATTGCGCCGGGATTCTTCACACGACCAATATGGCAGTCGCTGTGATGCAGCACTACGGGAAGTTCTACTTATTCGATCCATGCGCGAGGAACGACCAAGGGAGAGCTAGTTTCGACGGAGCTGCTTGCGTGATGAAATGCGAGAGCATCATGAAGATGGCTAAGGTGTTCGTGACTAACTGCAACTTGAAGACGCCGAACGTGTACACGCTGAACGCTGTGAACGTGTTGGGATTGTACTTCTTCTCGGATGCTAAGTCTGGATGTCCACCGAAGTGTATACAATGATTTTAGAGAATGATACTGATTTAATTTTGTTTCTGTATATTTCTTTTTTCTGTTTTTAGTTTCAAGTAGAAAATCTGTCTCGGTGTTTTTGTAATAAAACAGTTCCACTGTCGATCGGAGTAATTTAATCGAGAAGTAGCACAATGATTAGGTGGTTATTGAAGAAAAACAAGCGTTCTCAGAAGACTAGTACTTTTTATTTAACTTTCATACCATTCATCGTTTACTCATACTCTCTCTCTCGCTCTATCTCGCGTTCTCTCTCTTTCTCTCTTTTGATTTCCCACGAAAACTGTTCTACAATATAATCGAAAACTAAGTGTCTGATCGCAGCATCGACAAAGCATCATCGGTTCTAAAAACTGATACGCGGTCACTTCTCGCGACACGGCGAAAGATGAAACCGATATTTCTTTCTTTCTTTCTTTCTCTCTCTCTCTCTCTCTCTCTCTCTCTCTCTTTCGTTCTCTCTCTCTCTCTCTCTCGTTCTCTCTACAATCGTAGCAAAAATGTACCCTGTTACGTGTTAAACCGTTCTTCGTTCGAAAGTTAATCAGTCGCTCGTGCGCTACACGTTTTAAATTGAGAAAGTAGCCGAAAAGTCTAGCGTAGGTGAGAAAGATCACCTCTGGTAATAATACCTCGAAGAAGAGACGGTCGCGAACGGCCATATTATTCGATTTCATTACGAAGAACAGGCAAAGCAGAGGTGAAACAGACAATGAATCCACGCGGTCGACAACATTCTCAAATTGCTAATTTTATTTATAGGTTTCTTTATGACACAAATCACTTTTAGCATCTACAATGAGTAGGAGTACAGGCTATACGAGAATGAATTTGATACAGATCACTTATTTAGTGTAAATACAATGTATCCTCTTTTTTCAATTACACGCTATATAAACTAGATACTTAGAAAACACTGTACAACGCAGCTGAGAACTGTCGGTGATACTTTACAATATGTTACAAGCACTCCTTCGAAGCGAGACGAGCCTAACCGTTTTTTCACCAGGAACACGTCTTCTCTTCCGCCATCGTCTCGTCTTTCTTTTCTCTCTTCTCGATTAGAAAGAGTAAAACGGTTCTCCAAAATGGCTACCCGGCTAGACGTTCCCGTCTGACTCTTCGTATGACGTCTCACGCGGTCTGTAGGCCGTGTTTCAAGCGGATTCTGGAAGCCATTCCACGTCTTACACGATCACCATTAGATACCACGGCGTATCATTTTTCGTTTCCACGTACATTATCATCTTAGAAGAACATTTTGCTTTATCATTTCTTTCTTTCATGAAGTAGAGAGTTGAAACGTTAGAACAGCTTCCCTTCGTCCCTGACCGCTCGTCGGGACACCACGACGGACCCTCGTGACGTCGTCTCGTTTCTCGCAAAGTGAATTAACGCCAGGTTCCACGTACAGAGTCCGGTGGAACAACGCAACTCGGTAACAATTTCATCATCTTGACTATCGACATTTACATATTCTTCTCCGAAGGATTCTCATTTTACAATGTAATCTTATCTATCGTGAATCGAACTGTCTGGATCTTGGATCCACAGACTCTACTCACGGTAGATCATTTTCTTTCTTTTTTTTTTCCACGGATTATTCGTCGTAAGAGAAAAGAACGTATACCGAAGGAATTCGACGGATCCTCGATGTTGATTGGACGCGTTAGTCAAGACGATTTTATGGACACTTGGTTGCAAACACACGAGGAGATGATCCCTGTCGATTCGATGCAACGTCGACGAGCGAGGTAAAATGCGTTTAAATGCCTGTCTATCGTATTAAGTAGCGAGCATCGTCGTACCTGGGATCTCTGCACCCGCAACCTGGTTTCTCGCGCACCACTCATCGTCTCATGCACACACGCAAGCACGCACGCACGCACGCAGGTGGCAACACACTCGGAATAATACATCGCACGGCTTTACGAGTCTTTTCTTCGTGGCTAACGTCTGTCAGTACAATCGGTTAGTCCGCATTTTCTCTCTCGCTTGTTCTTTCGCTCTATCGAACCGCTGGTCGTCCTTGCCCGTACTCGCGCTCGTTTCACGCCTCGTCCGGACTCTCGATCAGTCCTCGATCCGACTTTTATGCGCTATCTTATGTTATTACTGTGGTTCACGTTTGTACGGTTTCTAAAGAATTTTGAAAGATCGAGTGATTTTGAAATTTCGTTATTTCTCGGTATGATTTTGGGAAGTGATGAATTGAATATTGGATTGCCAGGATTTCATTCCTTCAGAAGAGTCTGATAAGAGGACTCCTGAAGAGCAGAAAGTAGCTGGATCGACGATTACATTTCTTTGCAAATAGGAGATTCAGAAAATTCTTATACATTTAATATAAAGTAGATGATCTGACGAAAGAGAATTTTGGGAGCTAACATTTACGAGAAACACTCGAACAGAGCTAGATTCCCCTGGGAGGGAATATTTCCTACATTCACAGACAATTTTTCGAATTCTATTTCTCTTTGGAAAATAATCGGCAAGTTTCTCGTGTCTGGAGACTGTTAACGAGTATCGTCGAAAGGGTTGATCGCTAGATCAACGATCATTCGTTTATTGACCCAGGGACGGGTGAACCTTGGTTCAAGCCTAGGATTATTAGGTAGCGTTTATTAATTCAAGCACGGTAGCCGGATCGTGGCTGGATTCTCGGTGAAACGTTCGGGATTCGTGACGCTAGAATGCTCGGATCGCGTGCAGATCGAGCGAGAACGAGGCAACGAAGGGAGAGAAGAACCGGTGGCCGTGGTAAAAACGCGGCAAAAGAACCAAGAGACGCAGACTTGGTGAACGCAACGCCCGTTCGTAACACGACTGACAGAGCTCTTCTTTCTCTCTCATTCTTTCTCTCTTGGGTTTGAAAAACGGATCGTAAATGTAAAAAATATCGTTATATATCGATAATATTGGCATGATGTCGTTATGGCACGTTCAAGTTTTAACGCGTATTACAATGGTTTATCTTACGTTTTTTTTTTTTCTTTCGCTATACAGACATCGTGATCGCTTCAGTCAAAGGGGGTTGGATTGGGGGGAGCATCGAGAAGAAACGTGGAAAAACGGAAAACGCAATTACAAAAAAAAAAAAAAAAAAAAAAAAAAAAAAAAAAAAAAAAAAAAAAAAGGAAAAAAGAAAAAAAAAAAAAAAAAAAAAAAAAAAAAAAAGAAAAAAACAATGAACAAAGAGAAAAGAAAATAAGGGAAAAATATGTTTCTCTAATGTTTCTTTTCGTTTCGCGCACTCATACAACACATACATACAACTCTCTCTCTCTCTCTTCGACACGCTCGCGTGACTTCCACATCGTGGCATAACGCATCTCTTTTTCTATTTTTTTCTATTTCTTCGTCTTCTTCTTCTTCTTCATCGTCACAGTCCTCCATTGCACTTTCCCATTCGACGCAACAAATGCACCTTAAAAAACGTATCCCTATCTTATGTACACAAGAGCTGCTCCGCTAATGAAAACGCACGAGGAAAAAATAAAAGAACGATCTTCGACAGAAGGGGTTTTCGGAGGAGCATGATAAAAAGAATTTTTCCTCTCTGGTTAACGCGCGCGTGCTTCGTATCTTCTTTTTCGTTCCTCTTCCTCTTCCTCCTCCTCTTCTTCGAGCTTCGTCGTCGTTTTCTTCGAAATTCGTTTCTCTGTTTCTTTTCGCTACGGAGTTTCTTCTTCTTCTTTCTTCGTTTTTAGTCTCGAAGCGGAGGGGAGTGATTGCACCGAGGATTCCGTGCAACGGAACGAATACGCATAACCGCCGCGTTTTCAACGATAAAATAAAAACATAGAACAAAAGGAATTGCGCGCGTTTTTCACATGCCGATTAACAGAAGATCGATGAATTAAAAACGATTCGTAACAACGTTCGTCGAATTAAAATCGGTAGTACATACGTCGACCGGAGAATCGAATGAAACAAAACAATCTTCGCAGTTTATTCACAGTCGACGTGTTTAAAAAAGAAAACGTAACGAGAACAGTTATTAAAAACGGAAAAAAAAAAAGAAACTGCACGAAATTCCGCGTGACGATTAGCCTATGCTTGTTGTCCACGCGATTAAACCGCAACGCAAATGTACAACGATACAAAACGATTAAAGAGGAAAAGAAACAAACGCAAAAAACGGGAACACAATGCATCGTCGCGATGTGTGTGCAGAGAGACGTTGGTTACAATCTTCTTCGAATCGGTTCGCGCGTTTTATTCCACGGTGTAACAAAGGTTCGAGAAAGGGTGTACGGGAGAAGAAAATATAAAAAGCGCAGTTGGACAAAGAGAGAAGAAATAATAACAATAATCGTGAAATAAAAGAAAAAGGAGAACATAAAAACGAGGGCACGATCAGGCGAAAAAACATTCTTCCTTCTCTTTTTTAATCATTCCGCTCTGTGCGAACAACAACGCGCGGCGGTTTGCTATTGCCGCTTAATTAAACGCGAAAACAACGCATCGTTACAAATGGAACAGAAAAAAGAAAAAGCGGCGGGAACTCGTTGCAACGACGATCCACATTAATAATCGTCACAATATAACAACCAAGAAATAAAAGAAAAAAAAATTAACATCGACGCACGAGAATTACCCGATTATTTGCACATGAAATCTCCTTCGTCTCTATCGAGGGAGCCGCAAAGAGTTAAGCCTGATTAGTTCGCCCATTCCCTGGGGAGGCGACGCGACACGCGGCGCGGGAAGATCGCAGGAAAAAAGAAAGGTAAAGAAGAAAGAAGAAAAAAAAAGGAGAGAAAGAAAGAACAGAGACACTAGGAGGAGGAGATTGGTAGAGGGAGGGAATAAACGAACGCGCGAAAAAGCGATCGTCGCTCGATCGGGACGACGCTCGATAAATAATGCAACGTGTGTGCTTGGGTGTTTGTCTCTCCTCTCTCTGTTGGCTCCGGCCTCGATCGTGAACGATCGCCACAGAGGAACGTGGAAGGGCGAGGGGAAAGAGCACACGGCCACCCTTGGACACGTTCTAATGGAAGCTCTGGACCGCGCGCGTTCGACGCCAGAACAGTCTCGTCGCCGTGGTTATTGTCTTGGTCGATGTAGCTCGAAAGCGCGGGGTGGCTGCTAAGTGTGCTCTGTTCCTATGTTCTTGGATCGTTTTGTTTTTGTTTTTTCAACTTGAAGTTTCGTATCTATTTCCTCGAACATAGATCCGAAAAACGATCGAGGATCAATGGATCGTTCACGATAGAGCTGCTCGCTTGGTGATTTCTCGATTCCTGAGATTTTGTCTTGAATAGAGTTTTCTTATTATGCAATGGAGATCCAGAGGTATTCGGGATTGTGTCCCGGTTGAAAAAAGAACGATTAGCTTTTCGCATTGTGAAAGAGGGGATATATCGTAGAAAAGAGATATAGGTGAGTCGCGGTTAAAAAAGAGAAAACGAAAAAAAAAAAAGAGACCTTACACGCTAATCAATCGCACATTTTGTGTGTGTATGTGTATAGACTTTTAAAAAAATAACAAATTACATACAGAAGAATAGGTATTTTGACACCTAAGTGAGGTCGAATAAAATGAACGACGAGATGAACGTCTTGCTCTCTTCTTTTTCTTCTTCCTTCTTCGTTCTTCTTCTTCTTCTGTTCTTCTCATCATACGTTCTTCGCTATACCTTTCATTCTTCCACACGCATACGTTAAACATACATTCTGCATCTTTCGTTCGTTTCCTTGCTTGCTCGTTTTACCTTTAGTTTATACGTCTGCGGTATAATTACTTTATAGAATATAGTACCTGGCACAGGAACATGACCTCTCAGTCATTGGCATCACAACGTAACAAGGACTACAAGCTGTGTCACGCGCACCTTCCTCGTCACCCTGTGTATACCATTCACCATTTCTCTCTCACTCGTTCATACACACTTACAATCGTTTTCTTTCATTCTCCTCACGCTCTCTAACAAACGCATAAACCAACTTGTACACGCTCTCTCTTTCTCTCGAGTGGGTGACTACAGCCAGACACTTGGTCCTGAGTATTTCTGCATCGTATATTCATCTGTTTTCTCTCATCGTCTCCCGATCAATTTTCGCATTGTCCATCTTCTTACTCGTTACACGCAATTAACGTCCTCCAAACACATCCTTTCTAAACCTCCACTCACTCTCTCTCTCTCTCTTTCTTTCTCCATCGATTCTCTGTGGACACATACACAGTAGATCTGCCCACGGCGAACGAACAACGGCTAGGCTGATCCTCTCTCTCTCTCTCTATCTTCCTCTTTCCATGAAACCCACCAAAATATTCCTCAACTTCTTCCTTCGATCAGATCCCTCTCTTCTACCAACCGTATAATAACCATCCGAGACCTCTTCGAACTTGGACCACCTACCGAACACCCATCAGCGTTCCAAGTACCACACGTCTCAGTACCGTGAACAACAAGAACCCTCCGTCGAGGTACCTCTTCGATCATCCCTCCTCTATCACCAACGATAACGAAGAAGAAGAAGAAGTCCCTCTTCAACCAGCAGCTCTCTAATACCGCCTCCTTCGCGATAACGTTCACCCGTATGACGATCACGAGGAGTATGGTAATCGTCCAGCGGCATCTGGCCTGTTCAACACGCGCACGGACCCTGTTGACGAGGCGCGACGTCGTTGCGGCGACAGTCTTGTCAGGTGGGTCCGGCCGGGGCTACGTAACACTGATCGCCGGGTTTGATGTGCCCGACGGGGCCGACACCACTTCACTCTTTATACACTGTCCGGTCAGTTGGTTCACGCTAAGGGGATTGTTGATGTCGTGGGGATTGGTGCCGACCGGGTTACGATGAGGTGGTGGTGGTTGTTGTTGTTGAACTGGTTGATTGTTATGCTGTTGCTGTTGCTGCTGGCTGTTAGGATTATTTGATAAAGGTGGAGGCGGCACAGGTGGCGTCAGGGGGCACGGACACGGGCTGGCCAGGCTCGAGGGCGACGGTAACACCAGTGACGGGCTAGCCAGACTAGACAACGCGGACAATCCACCAGGACTGCTCAAGGATTCGTCTTCCTCGGGAGTGCCTGCCTCCCCCACGCTGCCCAAGTTATCCTCCGAGTGATCGTCATCGCCTTCGCCGTCCGCTTCGCCATCGCCGTCTCCTCCCTCCCCCATGTATCTGATACATTTCTTCTTACGTCTGTGAACAAGCGACGAGAGATTAGTCGGTGGATTCGTAAGGGAGGATGATTCTTTTTTTTTTCTGCTTTTTTTTTACTCTTTTTTATTTGGTGGTGTGGTTATGTATGATGGTAGAGTAAGTAAACAGGAGAGGATTCGAAGGTGGCTTCTTCTTCTTCTTGTTTGGGTTTGAAGAGAGAATACGAGAAAAGAGTTGGAAGATAGGAAGCAAGCTTCGAATCCTGGCTGTGTACGTAAAAGGTTACATCCAGAATTATTGGTACCAACTAAAAGATCATGCGGTCACTCGTGGTCGTAGCAAAGCTCACAGCGCGCAGACATCTCTCGAATTTTGTTCGTTTTTTCTTCCAGAGCTGGATAGCTTTTGTAAAAATAAGTGAATTCTGATGATTTCAATTTTTAAATAAAGAAGCAACGAACAGTGGAGATCTCTGCGCGATCGAGCGTTGGATAATTGTACATCGTTCGACACGGATATCACTCGCTGCAAATGCCATGCTCAAAAAGTAGTTCAGACGTAACAAGCAAATAACTGTGGTGTAATAAACGTATATATATATATATATATATATATGTACGTGAAAAAACGAAAGTCTCAACAAAAAGAATTCAAACGCCAAATGGGGCATAAGTTATAGGGGAAGGGGTGGGGGGTGGTGGTAGCGCAGTTTTGATATTTCACTTTTTTTTTCTTTTCTCTTTTGTTACAATCCGCAGGCTAGAACTACTACGTGCCCCGAGCAATAATACCGCGCGTTGTGTAATAAGAATCGCGTTTGTTTAAAACAGAAATCGATCGTCGCGAGCGAGATCTCTGTTTCTTTTTCCTTTTTTTTCGGATTGGAACCGGAAGAAGAAAATGGCGCGTTGAATCGGATCGATGTTACGTGGAACTTGGAATACTTTCTCTCTCTCTCTCTTTCTCGATCGATTTCGTGAATCTTTTCTTCAACTTTCAATGCGTTACCATCGCATCGAATGGAATAATCAAAGGAAACGAAAAAACGAACGAACGAACAGAAAGAAAAAAGAGAGACGTGAAAAATTTTAGCGATAATAATTTTTGCAACGCGAGAAACTTTTTTCTTTTGTAACAGACGGAACGAAAAGGACATATACACATAGTTTGGCTACTGCAAAGTTCCCGAAAAGTGAGCCCGACCGACCTCGTGTGTACTAACTGCATCGCAGTCGAGACATTTATCGCTCTGCCATTGGCTCTCATTATTCATCTCTTAGCCAGTTGAGTTAATTTTTCTATTCTCTTTTTTTCTGTGTTTTTCTTTTTCTCTTTCTTTTTAGATCGTGTGTTCAATGTGTGAACAATATTACGGTTGTTGGGGCAGGATGTCAACTGTTCGCAGGCACGTCTGGATTCAAAAGCGTTAGATTTTTTACCTCTGCATACTTCGATTATTATCGATTAGTAACCATCGTCCAGCTGCTGGTCTCATTTCTACACTTCGAATAGAAAAAACAAAAAGAAGAAAGTACAAATTCAATCTATTTTTCTTAACCCTTCGTGAATTCCAACATTTCGGGGTTAGATTGTTCGAAATTAATCGATCGTTCAAGGCCACCGAAGAAGAACTCCCTCTCTCCCTATTCGCGCGACTTTAGCTATTCTCTCGCTATATCTATTGTCTCTTCCTTCCACGTTTGCCTCGCTCTATTGTTCCAAAGACAATC